CTGGAAAATTAGAAACTATTTTGCAAATGAAGACACACTTGTACCAAAAGCTAAATCTGAAAAATGAACATCACTTACATTGCTCAGGATCTTCATATTGGAACACTGTTAATAAAGGCAAGAAGTAGGAAGAAAATGTTATCTATTTCTGTTTTTATTACTAACTGCATTGACTTTTACTAGCCTGTTTGATAATGAAAATAAAATCAACACACCACCCAAATAATTGAGTAAAACATCAAATACAAATTGCCTCTAACTCAGGATAAAAAACACACCTTTGATTTTTTTTTCAATTTTTAACTAAATCAATTGTTAAATTCCACATATAATTAAGTTTTTATAACTATTTCTTTGGTCAGTAGAATATATTTATGAAGGCAGAGTGAGTATATTTACCTAAATAGAGCATTCTGTATGAAAATAATTGGCCACAGGAATACTTTTACCCACTTTTTATAAACAATGTGTGAATTCCTTACACAAACAACTGGGCTCTAAGAGACTATTTCTATGTCTGATCACCTCAAAGGAGAGAAGCACAAACCCTACCAGGCAGCTCGTTTCACACTGGACAGCTCTGTTCACAAGCTTACTCTTTACAAGGTTTTGTAAATGCCTACAACTCTCAGGTCAGCTACAGAAGTCTAATCATTTAGTCACATAACAGCCATAAGTTTTTAAAACATTTCCTCCCTCCTTTCCAAGTTTTTCCCCTTCTCCAAGTTAACCATGCTCAGTTCTTTTCACCATTCCTTGTGCTATTGCATAAGCCAATCACCAATGAATAGGCTCCAGCTTGTCAATCTCTTTTGATGCCCTGAATTAACTGTTATTCCAGATGTGACAAAATCAGAATGTCAAGTGGGATAATACTTCTCTAATTCTGGATTTATTTTGAAATTAATGCTCCTGAAAGGTGCATTTGTGTTAGTGGAAGGCACTTCACACATATGATTACCCAAATCATTTTTTTTTGCGTATGTGCTGCCTTGTCAGCATTAGCTGGTTCAACTAGTGGAAAAAAGATATTCTATGCTGAATCCATGTCTGGTTAGAAAGGAAGTAACATCAGCTTTCTTTAAGTTATCTCAATTGAAGGAGCATGAACATTCTGATTGCAAAATGAAAAAGAACCAATGTCCAGAACAAGCCTTAGGAAAGATAAGAGATTGAGATTCATGGTCCAAATCACAATATCAACTGCAATGTCACGGAAAAGCAGCGCTTTGAATCACTGAAAGAACCTATGGGATGTCTAATCTAAACTCTTCTCATTTTACATATTAGCAACTGAGGTGAAGCAACTGGTCTAAAGATGATCAGTTTGTCAGTGACAGAACCGGATCTCATACTTATATCCAGATCTAGGATGCAGCGCTCCCCCCATTATTCACACAGATGAAGCTCTGATCTCTGACATTAATTAAAAGTGAACAACAGCATGTTACATATGTATATCCAAAAAGTGCCACTTCAATCCCCAGGATGAAGTGATGTAAAAATGTTAGCCAAACTAGCTCAAGTGGTGATCCAGAGATTAAGAATGTACACTCGTGTCTGGTTAGATAGTCCAATCACTCCCAGAGAAGAACTGCAACAAGAACTCAGTTCTGAGACCATTTGCCCTAAAGTGCTCTTTACCATCACCGTGGATGCCAACATTCACTGGATAGTCACATCTGAAAGATATCTTTCTACCCAAATTGTAATGGTAGTATCATGCAAAAGGAAAACCATAACCTTGGTATCCTTAAATAAAACAATAGCTTTTAAAAAAACAAAGGTATGCTATGTTTCTCATTTATCATCTTCTCATTATCAATACTCAAATTGCTTGGGAAAGCAGAGGCTTTGGTGATTTTTTTTTTCTTTTCCTGGAGGGCAGGGCTAGACAGGAGGCTAGTCAGCTCATAACTGCCTCTTTAGCAACTTTCCCCCCAAAAGTTCCATTCATTTTTGTTAAAAAAAACAATTGAGAAATGAAACATACATCCACAAAACAGTATAACAAACTTGTACACTAACATTATCATCAGTATTCATAATACCCAAGGAGAAACAACCCAAATCTTCAACTGACAAATGAATAAATAAAATACGGTATATCCACACAATGGAATATGATTCAACCACAAAAAGGAATGATGTACTGATACATGTTCCAACATGGATGAACCCTGAAAACATTGTTAAGTCAGTCACAAAAGTCTACTTATTGTATGATTCCATTTACATGAAATGTCTAGGAAAGGCAAATCTTCAGAGATAGAAAGGAGATTAAAGTTGCCTAGGGCTTGGGGATTTAGAGGAAAAAATAGAAGGTGACTGCTAACTGGGTACTTTGTAAGTAGTAAAAATATTCTGTAAGTGATTCTGGTGTCAGTTGCACAACTCTGTGAATATACTAAAAACATTTAATTGTACACTTTTAATCAGTGAATTGTATTTCAAGGAAGCTGGTACCCACCCTCCCCCCATCAATTAGGCCTAGTATATGATTACAAAATATGGATAAGGCAAAGAATAAACAAAAGAAGCTTTACACAAAGACAATAATAGTTAACACTGGGATAATATTTATCCTTCCAGATTTTTATGCACGCATACATTTGTTTTTCTTTTAAAAGAAACAATCTATTTATTTCGGTGTTTATACAGGCAGCAAGAAAAGCAATGTTGCTTGAAAATTTTGCAAATTTCTATTTTAAGAACTGTGTTTTCCAATAAGATAGATATTTATCATAAATAGCTATTAAGCTTAAAATGTGCTTAATCTGAACTGAGCTTATTATTTTGATTATTTATATTGTGGTAAAATACACATAAACACCATTAAGATGGTAAATTTTATATGTGTATAGTTCAATAGTATTGAATAGTCAGAACATTGTGCTATCATCACTACCATCCGTTGCTAGAACTCTTTTCATCTTGTACACTGAAACTCTATACCCATTAAACAATAACTCCCCATTTCTCCCTCTCTCTGTGCATCTGCCAACTACCATTCTACTTTGTCCAATTTTGACTACTCTAAGTATTTCATATAAATAGAATCATAAAATTACGTCTTTTTGTGACTGGCTTATTTTACTTGGCATAATGTCCCCAAGGTTTATCCATATTACAATGTATGTCAGAATTTCCTTCCTTTTTAAGACTGAATAATATTCCAGCTAGGTATACACATTTTGCTTATTCATTCATCTGTTAATGGATACCTGTGTTGCTACTCCCTTTTAGCTATTGTGAATAAAACTGCTATGAACATGGCTATACAAGTATCTTTTCTAGATCTTATCGTATCACATAATTCTATGCTTCTATAGCAGCTCTACCTTTACCAGTACATCCCACCAACAGTACACAATTCCAATTTTTATCCACATCCTCATCAACATGTTTGCTGTTGACCTCTTTTCACATGCTTATTGGACAGTTGTGCATCTCTTCTTTGCAGAAATGTCTGTTCAAGTTTTGTGCCCATTAAAACATATTCAGGATTTCCAATGTTTAGTATAAAATATGCAAAGTACCTCATAAATATCTTTACAAAAATATTGATTTTAAAATATCAATACTTTGGATATACTGAGTTAAAATATTTTAATTTCTTATTTTTTAAAATGTGGCTACTAGAAACATAGATGAACCCCAAGGACATGCTAAATGAAAGAAGCTAGTCACAAAAGAAGAAACAGTGTATGATTCCACTCCTATGAGACATTAAGAGTAGTAAAATTTACAGAGACAGAAAGTAGAAGGGTAGTTGCCAAAAGCTGAGGGAGGGGTGAATGGTATTGTTTAATTGGTATAGTTTCAGTTTTGCAAGCAAAAAAGTTCTGGAGATTGATGATGGTTGTAGCTGCACAACAATGTGAGTGTACTTAATGTCACAGAACTGTACACTTAAAAGTGATTAAAATATTGTTATACATATTTTATAATTAAAATATTTGGTGCTCTCTCTAGGGAGCACATTCGTATCTTCCTTCCCTCTCAGGCATGCATCTCCTAAACTCTAAGAGCACCCAAGAGATTTGCAACCAGGGGAGCAATGGGCAGGGGCAGTTCGTCCTGGGCTAACCCCCTGAACCTGTCTCCAAGGCCATCTCTGATTCTTCAGCGAGCCAACAGCAGCCTGGCCTTGGCTCACTTCTGTCACTGTGACTTATTTCTCAGTGAATCAAAACAGCCCTGCATAAGCTCATTTCTTTCCTATAACATTTCTAGAGTCAAAGCAGCCCCACCGCCTAGGCCAGTGATGGTGAACCTTTTGAGCTTGGCATGTCAGCATTTCAAAAAACCCTAACTTAACTCTGGTGCCGTGTCACATATAGAAATTTTTTGATATTTGCAACCATAGTAAAACAAAGATTTATATTTTTGATATTATTTTATATATTTAAATGCCATTTAACAAAGAAAAATCAACAAAAAAATGAGTTCGCGTGTCACCTCTGACATGTGTGTCATAGTTTTGCCATCACTGGCCTAGGCTATCTCCTGTTGCTTCTTCTATCCTAAGCCCATCCTTGTTTCACTGTCCCCAACTTTAATAAACATACTCTCAAAATCACCGGGACTCACCCTGTGAAATCTTTCCTGCATGAAGTCAAGAATCCACACACTACCTGCGGCCCAAGGCAGACCTGCTCCATCCTGGTTCCAGTCCAGCAACATCCCCAGTCCCTTTTCCTCGCCCCCACCCTCATCACTTTTTAATAATCCCCTTTGTTCCAGGATCTACTTCTGATGAATCAATCTAAGACCAAGTATAGTTCGCTACAAACCATCGCAGCTGCTTTGTACTGTGCATGTGCTGTATGATCACTATTGTCAAATGCCCTACAAATTAAGCTTCACTTAATTTGCATAAAAGCCCCATCATTATTACTGGGAAGGGGACCTGGCTCTGAGCAGGTCTGCCTAGGGCCAGCTGGTAGTATGTGAGTTCTTGACTTTGTGCAGAAAAAATTTCACAACAGGAGCCCAGGTAAATTTTAGAGGACGTTTATTAAAGCTGGGGACAGTGAGACAACAAAGGGCCTAGGACAACAGGAGAACTAGGAGGGGGAAATGAGCCCACCAAGGAGTCAGAGAAAAAGAAAAAGAGGCCTTGGGAACAGGTTCAGGGGTTTGCCTGGTATGAACTGCTGCTGCCCACTGCTGCCCTGGTTGCAAGCCTCATGGGGTCCCTTAGAGCTTAGGAGATGCTTACCTGTGGGGGGTAAAATGCATGCTCCTGGGAGGAAGACCTTGGGTGGGCCCTTTATTTTGAGGTGTTTTATTTATTTTTTAAAAATATTTTTTTATTGATTTCAGAGATCAAAGGAGAGAGATAGAAACATCAATGAGGAGAATCATTGATCGGCTGCCTTCTGCACACCCCCTACTGGGCATGTGCCCCAGTCCAGAATTGAACCTGGGACCCTTCAGTCCGCAGGCCATTTTGAGGGGTTTAAAGGCTGAGCATTTAGGGAAGAATCAATAGAATATTTATCTGCTTTATGCTAAAGTACCAAAATGAGATTTATTCTCTTAACTTCATCTGTCCTTGGGTGTGGTTGCCAAATGGCACTACTTGGACTCTTACTGCCTACCTAAGTGATTTAAGCTATTTACCTTCTTTCTGGTTGGGGAGGAATGTCCTAGGTTTAGGGAAGACAGGACTTACCATGTGGCTGCAAAGTGCTGCTTAAGTGTCTCAGTTTCCCTATTCTTATTCTGGCTTACTCCCCTGTCTCAACACCATTTTGGAGAAGAGAGAAACAGGCTCCGGAGAGGTACAGGCAGGCAAGGTCATTCAGGGGATGAAGGGCAAAACTGGGGTTCGAACTCAGGTTGTCCTATGTCAATATCTCTGGCTTTAACCACTACATTTTCCCATCTCTTTATTCATCTGTGTCCCTGACACAAAATACTGTTTCTGGGCCTTCATGTATCCTTAGTATGTTTTGTTAGTCATAGTTTTCTGAAGAAACAGAACCAACAAATATAACAATGGAGATTCATCATAGGAATTGGCTCTTGAGACTATGGAGCCACGATCTGACATCTGCAAGCTGGAAACTCAAGAAAGCCAGTGTAATACAGTCTTGAGTCTGAACCAGGGGAGCAATGGTGTGGGTCCCAGTCCTAGAGGAAAGGCCAAGAGTGCCAAAGTCCAGGGGTAGGTCAAGAGAGGAGAGTAAATTCCCCCTTCCTCCACCATCCTGTTCTATTCAACCCTCAAAGACTGGAAGACACCCACCCACATTGGTGAGGATGGATCTCCTTTATTCAGCTTACCAATTCAAATACTAATCTCTTCCAGAAACACCCTCACAAACACAAGCAGAAGATACAGAAATAAACACAAATTTCCAGACCATTTTGGACAATATTGAATGAGTGACTCTATGGTCATATATTAATGTCCCCAAACTGTTAAGTACTTCAAAAAAATCTTAGTAGAGAGTTCACTTTTCTGGCAAATCTGCTCCAATCCAAGAGGCCAGGGAACAGTAGGATGTAGTAAGTCCTCACTTAAAGTCATCCTTAGTAGATTCTTGGAGCTGCAGTGACAAAATGTAAAACAGAACCAATTTGACCATAGAGCTAACTGATATAAACAGGAATTAAGTTATTCCAATATTGACTTCACACCTGAAACCATGTTGATTGTTGAACAAAACATTATTCGAGAACCTGCTATATCTCACTTTGTCATATCAAAAGCTCCAATTAACTCTGCCTTAACTTAATAGATTTAATCCAGCTGGGATTACTTTAACAAGTTCAACTTTTTTTTTTAGTTTTGTAAAACTGAAATGACTCTAGAGTATGTAGTGGTACAGAAAAAGATTACAGCCACTCCAGACCCACTCAATCTGAAAGGTCTGCAAAATCACCAGAGCCTTAGGTATAAGGTAATGATATTGAAGCATTAACAAAAGGATGAAGAAAGAAGGTTCAAGGGTAAAGCCTACAGCCTACATCAAAATTTGCTTTCATGGACAAAAATTTAGCTGAGCTATCAGCCACATGTAAAATATTTTACCTCATAACTTCAAACTTCTGTAATAAGAAGGTGACAAGCACAATAAAGCTCTCCTCTGCCAAAAAAGAAAGATGGTATGATATAGTGACTAAGAATACACCCCTAAGAGCTGGACAGATCTGTGTTTAAATACTTGCTCTGCCACTTACTATTTTTGTGACCCTAAAAATGTTCCTTAACTTCTGGAGGTCTGTTTTTTCGTTTGTTTTTGGTTTTTATGGTATAACCAAATGTCAGAGGATTAAATGAGATGATGGCAGTTAATACTTAAAAGCAGTTGTCATTATTATCTTAAACCAGATCAGATACTGGGAAAATCACTCTGAAAAGTATGAGTTCACACCAGAGTACAATCTTTTAAAAAGCAAGAAATATTATTATTCCTGAGAATCAGATGTGTTTGTCATATATTTGTTCTTGTACACATTATAATGTGCATTCAAACTTACATATATACATATAGTATTATTTTAATACGTGTGTGAACCATTCATGTCAGAATAAGCATATCCTTAACTTTACAGAGCTGTGGCACTTAAAATGCTTATGCAATAGAACACCTGCAAATACCCAAAATAAACCTACATGACTTACAATTACATAGAAACATTAAAAGTGTGATATAGGTTTTGCATATTTATTTAAAAAATATGTGAGTCACTCCTCTTTTATGAAGACTTTCAGACTAAGAGACTAGTGAAAATGCTATTATATTGCTGCTTATCCTGCTACTTTGAGCTTTCAAACAAGAATCCTAGCTATGACCACTAGAATTTCTAGAACAGCAATGGAACCAATAGTTTTCAGGGTTACTTCTGAGATTGTGCCGAGAGACTCTAAGATATGAATTTGGATGGAGGGGAAGACGACGCCTGAGGGACAAGATAAAAGCTGAGCAACTACAACCAGAGGTGTGACCTCCCTCCCCTCACCCGCAACCCTTAATTTTATATACTAGAGTTCACATAAAATTTATTTGAAAGGGAGAAAGACGCCTTACTGCTTAATAAGATTGAGAATATCTCTAACATCCCAATCTAGCTTTAGGGAGTATGAGATGGAGAGCATTTCCCAATTTACTACTTTTAAAACAGGCATTCCAGCAAAGCAAGGACACATTGTGGGACATGATTCTAACACTTTGCTGTCTACATAAGAACTCCACAGAGCTGCTTGCTGTCAATACAGGTGGAAAATCTGACTTATGAGAAATGTGAAAAAAAGGAAGCCAATTCACACTGGGCCTAAGAAGACATCCAGATATGTCCTCTGGAATCATTCCAGAAGCATGCGGCTGGCCTTGGCATCTAAATGGGCTAGGACAAAAGTAGCTTATTTTCAACCCCTTAAAAATTTTTCCATGCTCTATCAAAGTGGTGGAAATCACTTTCCCACAGTAATGGGGAATGTACTTTTCTTACCATTCTTGAAAAATAAAATAATACATTTAAATTATCGTTTTTCTTTTTTTAAAAAAAAAATATTTTTTATTAATTTTAGAGAGGACGGGAGGAGAGAAAGATAGAAACATCAATGATGAGAGAATCATTGATCGGCTGCCTCCTGCATGCCCCCCACTGGGGATCGAGCCTGGAACCTGGGCCTGTGCCCTTGACCAGAATCGAACTGGGGACCCTCCAGTCCACAGGCCGACACTCCATCCACTAAGCTAAACCAGCTAGGGCTCTTACCAAGTTTTTCTAACTCATCTTCTAAAGTCAAGATTAACCAAAGCATTCTCTGTAGTAAAAACATTATTCTTATAGGTTTTGACATTTAATGGTCAATCCCCACATTTTCTGCAGTTTTGTTTTTCTTGATTTTAAGTCTAATGATCTTGAACCAGGATTCTGAGCACACCTTACATTAGGACACTCCAAGTCTCAATTCACCTTTCACAAGAATAAGAATTGTAATTGTTGACTTAAATTAGTACTTCCAATTTAAAAGTTTAATACATTTTGCCACATTTCCACTAGACAGAAGTTTCTTCAGACACACCAGGTTTCAAAAGATGCCACTCATGCAGGTTTCTCAACTGTTGCCAGCTTTTGCCAGAAAAGGAAAGCTTTACAGATTTTCAAGGGAAGCACATGTTTCTGCGAGCTCTTCAATGCAGTATAAAGGGCTCAGAAAAAGACAGAAATGGCAGAAGGGTAAAAACCAGCAATTACCTGTCTAAGCAAAAATAACTGCTCACAGGAGAAGGAATAAAAAACTGCCCTAAACCAAAATATTGAGAAAAGTAACAGGACCATAACCAAACTTTCTTTTTAGATCCTCATACAGGTAAACATCAAACCAGACATATGCTACTTCAACTACTACCATCACAGTTTTCATCTACACTGTCCTGGTGGGGGTATAACTGGAGCCCATTTGGGATCCTTGGGCGGTAGCTGACATACAAGCACAGAACATCACTATGAAGTTATGACGCATTCATTTGAGCCCCCATAAACCAAACAGCTCATAGGAGCATTATAAAAGCCAGTGTTCCAAGCACAGGTCTGGGGACCAGCTCAGCCGTATTCTGGGGGCTCGCTTCATTATTGCACCTGGTATTGCCTTAATTTCCCTACTTGTGAAATAAGGACAGTCCTGAGAGAATTGAGAATGGTTTATAAAGTACTTGAAAAATAAAACAGGCAAGCCATCAATATTATTTTACTAGTGGCCTAGTGCACCGACTCATGCACATTGAAAGGAAATTAATTAGAATATTTTAGTATCGTAATAAATATTTAATAAATAAGTACTTGTCGATGACTGTTCTTCAGACATTTTCTGTCGACGACGCCGGCTTCTTTCAGCTTCAGCGATACGTTGTGCCAATCATATTTCTTCAGACATATTCTGTCGATGACGTCGCTTTCTTTCAGCATCAGAGATACGTTGTGCCAATCGCTGTTCTTCAGACATATTCTGTCGACGACGCCGGCTTCTTTCGGCTTCAGAGGTACGTTGTGGCAATAGTTGGTCTTCAGACATATTCTGTCAACGATGCCGCTTTCTTTGGGCTTCAGAATGTCAACAAAAACAACCAAATTTACGATCGACACTGACAGATCGAAACACACGTGTGTTATTGGCACCAGCGAGAGCTTTATATGTATCGTGCATGTGTGAGTCAACTTAGCCTTTTATATATATATATGTAAACTTGCTTAATTAGACCTGCTTTCTGATTAGCTAAACTTTTTCCAGCCCAGTGAAGCACCCCAACTTCTCTTTCAGGTAATTGCAGCAACACAGCAGTAAATATCAACATGAAGCAGGTTATTATTGTAGATCACGCAGGGAAAACAAAGGGTAAAATATTTAACTGTAGCAGTGTTTGACTGTATTCTGTGCAGTGAGAAAAACTGAAGTCATTTTCAAGTTCTGTTATTTCTTACTTCTTTTCAGTTGGGTCAAGTTCCTAAACTTTCTAAATCCCCATTTTCCGGCTAATGAAAACAGATTCTACTGAGTCTCCTATCTACCTACTCCAGGACTTCTGTGAGGATCAAGTGAGATGAGGCATGAGAAAACGCTTCACAAACATTTGGTTAAACTGTAAAATGTTTGCACCTGGCTATAAAGCAAGTCGGTTCCTGGGCTGAAGAAACTCCAAGGAGGCTAGTCGCTAGGGAGACAAGCCGGGCATTGCTATATGATGTCATTACCCAGTGCCCACAGCGACTGTTTCTGGGTTGGGCTGTAGGCCACATTTTGCGCCATGGGATCTTGACAGTGTTGGCTGCGGTTTGGTGGGGTGTCACTCTGGGGTGTTGGCGGGGCCACTTGGGGGAAGCCAAGCGTTGGTTTGTCGGCTTCAGATCCATGGTGCTATTTATTTTTAAATGGCCAGTGCGCGTCCTGGTAGCTCCTGCATTGAGCATCTGCCCCCTGGTGGTCAGTGTGCATCATAGCTACCGGTTGGAGGGAAAGATGGACACTTAGCCTTTATATATATAGATAATACCACAAAGGCCAGCAAGGGAGCCTTTACACTCATCCTTATTAAAGAAATCAACTAAGTCATATGAGAAATGTCACATAAACACAACCCAAAGTTGAACAACTAAATTACAGATATACCTATCCCTACTGAAGAGGGAATTGGGATGTGAAGAAATTTATTTTCAATTCTAAGGGCTAATCAAACAGTGATGAGCCTTTTATAGATGATGTGCATGTTTTTGAGTTAAACCTTAAAATTGTAGCATATGTTCACGGAAGTCTTCCCTCAGAAAAGTCTTAACAAAAATCTTTTTTGCTCTCCTTTATTTCTGAAACACTGATGAAATTCTTAAGATTTTAGAACTCTTTAGCTGCTCTCTTGGAACTATGCTAGGGATCAACAAAAACAAGGAAGCTTGTGAGTGCATCTTAAAGAACTCCTAAAGGTAGAGGAGAGTGAATACATAAATGGAGATGAGGGAACCCAGAACAGAAATAGTGCTAAGAATTTTGCATTTTACACTGATCAGAAAAAAAAATGTACTCTCAGTCAAAACTGGCACTTTAAAC